CACCCACGCGGGGGGGCCGCTGGGGGGGGGGGGGGGGGACTGTGGCTTTGGGCATCTCCGCTCATGCATGGGTCACCTAAGTCCTTGAAGAGCTGCCATACAGAGGATGGTGTGGCGTTGTTTCCGATGGCCCCAGAAGGTCGGACCAGAACCGACGGGTTGAAATTAAATCAGAAGAGTTTTTCTGAGTCGCTCTAAGACACCGAGTGAAGGGTGGGGTATAAATCTAATCTTAAGATGGCCAACATACTTTGGAGGTCGGTCCTTGAAATCTTCGTTTATAGGATCCGGGGAAGGCGAGCTAGGAAAGACCTTTGCTTGGCAGCCAGGGGGAAATCCATCAAGCTTCACAGTACGGCACTTCCGAGTTATCGATCAACGCTTTCTTTCTTTCCAAAAACAGACATCTAACATCGGTCCGGCTAGGGCTTTTAAAGAAAGAGGATGCGGCCTCCGGGTCAGGGGCGGGGGAAAGACGTTGGCAGAGCGGCAAGATAACTGATACCCAGCAAAGCCCTCTGTGTCGACGGTGTCGTCTTTTTCCCTCCCCCCAGCGAGTTTCTTTCGTCCGTTTTTTCCACACTCATCACTTCCTTGCGCATAAATGGCCTTTAAAAGCAGCCGGGCCCATTTGGCTGAACGCAGCGGAGGCTCCAGTCCGAGGAAATCCCACGGTCAGCTCTCTGCAAACCGCGTCTCCCGGGAGCCGACGAGGAGGAATAGAAAATCCTTGGCGTCAGCGAGGGCGCAGTATTGCACGGGGCGGAAATGACGGCTGTCGAGTTAGGGGTCCGTGCGGGGCCGACGTGTGCTGGTCGAAGAGGGAGAGGGGAGCCCCGTTAAAGAGTTCTTCTGCTCTTAGGAGCCGGAAGATCTTCAACAGCATTAGGGATATTGAAAAATGTCCACGATTCTTTTTCAAATTTTATTTTTCAGGCCTGGTTGTTGTGAGCGTTTTAGTTCGGCTCATATTTACGGCGGGCATTCCTCGGGGTTTGTCTCTTTTTACGGTCTTCATGCTGTCTATATTTTAATTGGGGGGGGTTCCCTTCATTTATACCCTGCCTCTTCCCCCACAATGGAGACCCAAAGGAAGAAGAAGATATTGGATTGATACCCCGCCCTTCACTCCCCGAAGGAGTGTCAGACCGGCTTACAATCTCCTGTCCCTTCCCTCCCCACAACAGACACCCTGTGAGCAATGCTCCCTCTAAGCTGTGGAGCCTTGTGAGTAAAAATTCTACTTTGTGAGCTACTGGCATTAAAGTTGTGAGCGAGCGATTTGGCTGCTGCATCAATTAGTTTGCTCTGAAGCCCTCCGTCCTGAGCGAAGACAAAAATGTGTGAGCCGGAGGCTAAACGGCTGTGAGCCAGCTCACACTAACTCAGAGTGAACACTGCCCGTGAGGTAGGTGAGGCTGAAAGAGCTCTTTCAAGGACTGCTCTTGAGAGAACAGCTCTGAGAGAACTTGTGACTGACCCAAGGTCACCCTGCTGGCTGCATGCGGAGGAGGAGTGGGGAATCAAGCCCGGATCTCCCAGATTAGAGTCCGTGCTCTTAACCTCTACACCAAACTGGCCTAAGGAAAGCGATAAACCCAAACAACATAAAGGCTTAATGGCGGCTATTCCTTACAGTACCCTCAACAGAAGGGCTGTGGTGTTGGTTCAGTGTGAGAGCCAGTTTGGTATAGTGTTTAGGAGTGGCAGACCCTAATCCGGGAAAAGAAGAAGAAGAGAAGAGATTGGATTTATACCCTGCCCTTCACTACCCAAAGGTATCTCAGAGCGGCTTACAAACTCCTTTCCCTTCCCCTCCCCACAACAGACACCCTGTGAGGTAGGTGGGGCGGGGAGAGCTCTTGGCAGAAACAGCTTTCAAGAACAGCTCTGACAGAACTATGGCTTGCCCAAGGTCATCCAGCCAGGTGCAAGTGAAGGAGTGGGGAATCAAACTTGGTTCTCCCAGATTAGAGTCCACGCACTTAACCATGACACCAAACTGGCTCTCACACCTGGCTCTCAGAACTGGGTTTAATTCCCCACTCCTCCACGTGCAGCTGCTGGTGTGACCTTGGATCAGTCACAAGTCCTCTCAGGGCTGTTCTCTCAAGAGCAGTCCTTGAAAGAGCTCTCTCAGCCCCACCTGCATTGTGGGGAGGGGAAAGGAAAGGAGACTGTAAGCCGCTCTGAGACTCCTTTGGGTAGTGAAGGGTGGGGTATAAATCCAATCTCCTCCTCCTTCTTCGGTCTGTTCAGGGTAGGTCGTAGTAATTTTGGGCTATATACCATTGTATCTGTTGCACTGATTCATTCTCTCTCTCCCCCCCTCTGTGCTCTTAAAGGTAGACGGGCTCCTCTTCTACCACAAACAAACCCACTACAACCCCGGGTGCACCCCATTAGTCGGGTGGCTCCGACCCTACATGGTATCAGACATCCTGGGGATATCGGTGCCGGCCGGGCCGCTGACAACCAAACCGGACTATGCCGGCCATCAGCTGCAACAGATCATCGACCACAAAAGAAGTAAAAAACAGAGGGGGACGGAAGATTCCTCCGACGGCGACCAGGCCAACACCGACGGGCGATACGAGTTTGAGCACTTATCCACGCCGAAGCCAGAAGGTTCTTTCTCCGGCTCGGGCGACCCTGCGAGTAATATGGAAAACTAACACCGCGGTGCGAGGGTGTTCTCTCGAGGGTCTCAGAATGCCCCGACGGAGTCCCCATCATTGCACACGGAGGCTCGGCTCGATGCAGAAGTTAACTTGTGTAAAGTCGGCACCCCGCTTTCACGGACGCGGTTTATTACTCGGTCAGAGCCCGAGCGTCACATCTTAAAAGGCAAGGGTTGTGTGTGTGTACAAAGCATCGCAGCACACCTGGGCTCCGCCTTAGCCTAGGGCCTCCCGGTAAATCGTACATGCAGCTCTGAGATCTGTGGAAATTTGAGTTTTGGGTTTCGTGGGAAAGTCGGCTCCGGGTTCTGGAGTTTTTAAGGGAGGTGTCTGTAAAGAGAATCCCCTTGTGTTTTGTTGAGAGAGCTCCTTCGTGTCACCACGCCGGCAAGAAGGCCCCGAAAGCGTCACATGTGATCGCGAGGCCCCTTTCTTCACCTCAGCGAAGGCGTTCGTCATGTGTTTCTCCCGTATTTGAACGGGCACTTCTGTACGTTAAAAAAAAGATGTGCTTTCCTAACATACAGGTTTTTGTTGGTCTGAATAAAGAGCTATGCAGGGATTTATTTGAACAAAAGCTCTGGTCTCTCATGTTGCTGTTTTTCGTAGGTCACTCAATTTATTTATTTATTTATTTGGATTTCTATCCCGCCCTCCCCGCAGGCTCAGGGCGGCTTACAGAGGCATAACGCCAGATAATAAGAATAAAACAGTGTAAAATACAAACAATACAAATTACATTAAATATTAACTAGTTAAGCAAAAATTCATAAAAACATTTCGGTGCTCCCTACTAACTTCCGAATTTTCCGAACTTCCGAATCACACCCCTAACACTCACTTTTTTCCTTCCTAAACCAATATGCTCCAAAAACCATATATGTTCCTTGTTGGGAAGATGATTTTTGATCCTGTCTGCACCATTTCCGTCTCTGCGATATCCTTTTTGAAGTTAGGGTGAGCGTAACTGTGCCTTCTGTTTCATAGGAGGTCACACCAGAGATCTGTGCGAGGGCATTACGATCCAGCCAGTGTTCCCTCTAAGCTGACTTAGTGTGAGCTAGCTCACAGTTTTTTAGCCTCCAGCTCACACACTTTTGTCCTAGCTCAGGAAGGAGGGCTCCAGAGCAAACTAATTCACGCAGTAGCCAAATCAACTCGCTCACAACTTTAATGCCGGGAGCTCTCATAAAATGAGAATTTTTGCTCGCAAGACTCCACAGCTTGGAGGGAGCATTGGATCCAGCCTGTTCTGTTCCCCCTAATAATTCCTGGCTGAAAATGTGTGTCCGTTGTTGTTCTTTTGGTGTAGTGGTTAAGTGTGTGGACTCTAATCTGGGAGAGCCAGGTTTGATTCCCCACTCCTCTACTTGCACCTGCTGATGTGACCTTGGGTCAGTCACAAGCTCTGGCACAGCTGTCCTGAAAAAGAGCAGTTTGTGTCAGAGCTCTCTCAGCCCCACCCACCTCACAGGGTGTCTGTTGTGGGGAGGTGAAGGGAGAGGAGTTTGTAAGCCGCTCTGAGACTCCAAGTGAAGGGCGGGGTATAAATCCAATCTCTTCTTCTTCTTCTTTAACCATTGCTGTACACTGAGACCTGATCCTGTGGTAGGAACGCTAGAGCTTCTCTGGGTATTATTGAGGGGGGGGTGTGTGCAAAGGAATTGGTGTGAGAGCATTACGGCAATCAGGAAGGGGTGGCATAGACCAGGGCCCCCCGACGTGGGGCCCGTGGGCGTCATGGTACCCACTGACCCCTTTTCGGAAGGGGGTGGGACTAGATGGCGCTTTCGCCCTGCAGGGCTTCTGATTGGCTGGGCAGATCGAAAGGCGCCCTGTTAAACAGATCCTGTGCCTGAAATGTTGAAGTTGCTGAGTTATATGTAACCTCGCTCCCAGATAGTGTGTGGTTGGCCCTGCCTCCTGTGGCAGCCACCACCATGTGTCGAGATTCCAAAGGTGCCCACAGACTCAAAAGGACCGGGGACCCCTGCCATAGACCGTTGTACCAAAAATGAAGCCAAGAGCCTAGTAGCTTTATGCTTTTCACTGTTGTCAAGAGGAACTGGGGTTTGTGGCTTATATACCCAGGGACATATAACAAAGTTAACGTTGTGCCTCAAATTAACCCAGATTCTCTAGCAAGGGAACCTGGGCCTGCAGTCAGTTAGGTGTAGTGGTTAGGAGTGACGGACTCTAATCCGGGCGAACCGGGTATGGTTCCCAACTCCTCCACATGCGGCTGATGGTGTGACTTTGGGTCAGTCACAAGTTCTCTCGGAGGTGTTCTCTCACGATCAGTCCTCGAAAGAGCTCTCTCAGCCCCACCTACCTCACAGGGTGTCTGTTGTGGGGAGGGGAGGGGAAGGGAAAGGAGATTGTAAGCTGCTCTGAGACTCAGGTAGTGAAGGGTGGGATATAAATCCAATCTTCTTCTTCTTCAAAGTCAGGCAAGTTTTAAGGAAAACTGCCTGGTTAATTCCGCATAATGTTTTCTGTATCTTGATAACTTTGGCCCAAGCTCTCTTCTTATAGTTCTGTTGCAAGAATTAGACAGGGCCTTCTTTTGGCTTCTGAAATTTTACCACTTGTTACCCGCTCGCTTCCAGGCGCATCTTTGCAGTCATGAGGACTAGAAACTTTATTTTTTTAAAAAATATAAAATGGAGACGGAGCCCCAGAACGCAGTTTGCCCCAATCTTAAATTCTGTGGCTTTTCTGCAGTCTTCCGCAATCAGAATGCTGATGCACCGATAGTTACAGAAGTGAGCGAGCCGATACGGCTGTAGACCAAGTAACTGGCGGGCACTGTGAGTGATTTTGTTGAATCTCAGCGAGCTACTCCGTTTAATCCTGGAGTCTAAATGCCAAGCTTTCCCCTTTGAGAGTTAAAAGATGCATATATATATTCGTAATGCTATAAATACCACCAAGCAGTTTCTCTTTTTCTCTGAATAACTCTGGGTGGCTGTGAGGAGAAGTTACCTCGATAACCAGGCGTTTCTTCTTCCGCAGAGACAGTAGGACCATTTAAATCTGACCTTCCCCCACGCTCTGTTCCTTCCCAGAAAATGGTGTTCCCCAGGCCAAAAACGTGGGCGTCTTGCGACCATTCGGTTTTCCAGCAAGCAACTGGCAAAACACAGATCCGCTCCTACGCAGAGAGAAAGCGTCCCGGTTTGGATGTGAAACGCTGGATTTGATTCTTAATTAATTAATTAATTAATTAATTGCATTTCTGTCCCTCCTTCTCTCCTTAGACTCGAGGCAGGTAACGCCCATAGCATGGGAGGTGCAAGAACTCACAAAAAAAACCATGGGTTAATTATCGTGATTAAAAACAAGCACGCAAGGTAAAATAATTCCAACGCAGCAACGACAGCACAGATTAGAACGAGGATGAAAAACGCACAGAGATTAAAAAAACAGCTGCTCAGATTAAAACCACAGACAGATCTGTTGTCGAAGGCTTGACACAGAGAGTACTCCATCTTTCTGTGTGATACCTCTGAGGATGTCAGTCACAGCTGTTGGCAAAACGTCAGGTCCTACAATGCCAAGACCATGGCTATATAGCCCGGAAAATCTACAACAGCACAGACGGATCTGTTTAAATGTCTAAACAAAGGCAGGCCATAGAGTTTCACTTCCTAAGAGGCAGTTTTTTTTAAAAAAAAGTTTCTAGTCCTTAAGAAGAGATGCTAGAAATTGTGTGTAATACCTGTTGGGATCTCAGGAATTAGCAGAACTGCTGAATAAGATTTCCAGCGGATAGGGTGTGAGAATTCACAGTGTTATACGGGTTGAGCAATTCAGTTTTCTGCAGAATTTGAGTTGCCATGAGTGTTGATGTTTTAGAGGAATATATAACGAAGCCAATTCCTTCCATACCCGGAGCTGTAGATGGATTCTTTGCAAGGTTCTCTCCCGTTTGCAACCGACAGGCTTCTCGGAGTTCTTATTTCGTCTTTATTTTACTTATGTCCCCTCTTTCCTCTGTCCCTGGGAACCCAAGGTGGGTTTACATCGCTCTCCTCTTTTACTGTCACAACCACCCTGTTGGGTAGGTTAGGCTGAGAGTGCGTGACAGATCCAAGGTCGCCCGGCAAGCTTCCCTGGCTGAGTGGGGATTCAAACCTGGGTCTGCCAGATCCTAGCACAGGCACTCTAACCTCTGTGCCATGCCGGCTCTGTTAACAGAATTTGTTTTAGAATTTCTAGTTCTGATGTTAGCTGATGTTAACCCCAGTTTCGACTAAAAACTCAGAAACCAAGAGGAGTACCGAGAAGAATGAATGAGATTTCTCCCCGCCAAACATTATGACTTCTAAGACCTAAGAGCTGGTTGGGTGTAGTGGTTAGGAGTGGCGGACTCTAATCTGGGAGACCCGGGTTTTGATTCCCCACTCCTCCACATGCAGCTGCTGGTGGGACCTTGGGTCAGTCCCAAGTTCTTTCAGGACTGTTCTCTCAAGGGCAGTCCTCGAGAGAGCTCTCTCAGCCCCATCTACCTCACAGGGTGTCTGTTGTGGGGAGGGGAAAGGGAAAGGACATTGTAAGCCGTCCTGAGATTCCTTTGGGTATAAATCCAATCTCCTCCTCCTCCTCTTCTTCTTGTTCGTCTTCTTTGTCGTCTTCTTCTTCCCGCCATTTAAAGAGAAAGGCGGGGTGGAGATAAAATTGGAAGGGCTCAGTGGACATCTTGACAACATCTGTGGGTGAAAAGGGCCGGGGCTGACGGGTTGGGCGTTTGTTATGGGAGAAGACGTAACTGGTAGGGTTGCCAGTCTCCAGGCAGCACCTGGCGATTTCCCGCTATTCACTGGGTCTTCTCCGTAGTGGCCCCAGTGCTTTGTAATACCCTTCACCAGGGATTTCTCCACCTCTTGGGGGAAGCAGTTAAGCAGGTCTGCGGGCACCTTGGGATTCTGAGAGGGTGAGGTGGGCGCAGCCGCAAAATGGCCGCCACAGAAGGCGGAGCCAGCCACAAAATGGCTGCCGCGGCTGACCTTCAGTCATACTGCGAAGATTCTTGTGTTGGGGTGGCAGCCGCTGCCAAAGCTACATTTTTAAAAAAACGTGGACAGCCAACCAAACCTCCGACGGCCAGTAGCTCCACCCGGCACCGCCCACATACTAAAAACGTTTGGTGGGGGCCAGGAAAGATGTCAGAAGGTACCCCTGAGGTAAAGCATCTCCCCTTTCGCAGGCTCTCTGGCAGTTCATACCGCAGAGAAATTTCCTGCAGCTGTTACATGGTATCCTAATTTTTGTATCATAATGTTGCTTTGTTGCCTGTTGCTTTACAGTTTTAATGATATCCTGTGTGGGGGTTTCTTGGTTTGTTTTTTTTTAACTGCTTCGGATGTCTAACAATCCTGTCTAGAAATGCCGTAAAGAAACTGGAATGCAATCCCCCAAAACGAGGCCCATTGACTGCACCCAGGGCGTCCTTCCAAGTAACCACACATTGGATCTTGCTGCTGGATTCCCACTAGCACCCAAATAGGCAGTAGGTTGTCCTGGGTTGCCAGACTCCAGGTGAGGCCTGGAGTTCTTCATCAAAACATAAGAGAAGCCAGTGTTGAAGCAGGCCAGTGGTCCATCCAGTCCGACACTCTGTCACACAGCGGCTAAAACTACCAGGTGCCATCAGGAGGTCCACCAGTGGGGCCAGGACACTAGGAGCCAGAATTACAACTTCCAGAATTAGTCACCGGACAACTCTCCCGGGTTCGAATCCCCGCTCGTCTCACGGAAGCCTGCTGGGTGACCTTGGGCCAGTCACATTCTCTCAGCCCGACCCACCTTGCAGGATTGTTGTGAGGATAAAACGGAAGAGGGGAGAACAAGGTAAGCAGCTTTGGGTCCCCATTGGGTAGAAATGAATTAAACAAGTAAATAATAAATAAGATGATGTTGGATGGGACTCTAACTGTAACAACACGCTTTTGCGGTGGGGGACACTCGATTAATACCATGTGGGCACTGAACTGGCAGATCCCTAAAGAGTCTAGGGGAACCCCAAAGTGAACTTATTTTTGGTAGTTTCAGTGCGTAGTCATGTCGGTCTGCAGTAGAAGAGTCAAATTTAGCCCAGCGTCACCTGAGAAGCCAACAGGATTTTCCGGATACGAGCTTTCGAGAGTTCGAGCTCCCTTCGTCAGATGCAAGAGAGTTGACTCCGGGAAGCGTATACCCCAAAACTCTTGTGGGTCTCCAAAGTGCTACCGAACTTGAACCTAATCCTTATTTTTGAAGCCGATCAAGATGGGCAGCTAGGCGGGTCAGTCTGTCTGTAGCAGCAGAAAAGAGCAAGCGTCTGGGAGCACCTCAAAGACTAACAGAATTTGTGGCAGGGGAGGAGCTTCCGTGAGTCACCGCTCCCTTCTTCGGACATAGCTAGAATGGGAGTCCCCCTGTCTGAAATCACTCCCCTCTGCAAGCTATAAGGACAGATGGACTCATATTCTAGCTGTAGAAAAGAACCAGAGTCCAGGAGCACCTTAAAAGACTCACAAAATCCGTGGCAGGGGGAGGAGCTTTCGTGAGTCACCGCTCACTTCTTCAGATAACAGCTAGAACGGGAGTCCATCTGTCTGAAGTCACTCCCCTCTCCAAGATATCAGATGGGCTCATGTTCTAGAAGTAGAAAAGGGCAAGAGTCCAGGAAGGACCTTAAAGACTAACCAAATATGTGATGGGGGAGGAGCTTTGGTGAGTCTCTGCTCACTTCTTCAGATACAACTAGAGCGTGAGCCACTCCATTCTTCCAAGATACAGGGACAGATGGGCCCATAGTCTAGCAGCAGAACAGAGCAAAGAGTCCAGGAGCACCTGAAAGACTAACCAAATTTGTGGCAAGGTGGTAGCTTTTGTGAGTCACTGACTCACTTCTTCAGATCCAGCTAGAACGGGAGTCCACCAATGCGCCCTCTAAGCTGTGGAGTCCTGTGAGGAAGAATTGTACTTTTTGAGCTCCCGGAATGAGTTTTATTTAAGACTGCAAGTGACTGATTGATCTTTCATTATTGGCAGTCCTGATTGGAGTTTTTAAACAGTGATATTTATCAGTTTTTATAATTGCTGTTTATATTGTGTTTTTCATAATGCTTTACTTCTATTGTAAGCTCTCTTGAGTTCCGCAAAGGAGGAAGGCAGCTAACGAGTTTTAAATAAACAGAAACCTGGAGACCCTCTGTTTTCTGATATATTTCTTATGTTTCGCTATATGGATTGTTGTTGTATAGGGTGTGGAATTTAGAGTGAAAGAAATTGTTCTAAGGAATGTCTTGCTACGTCTGTTTCTGATTTAGTTGCATAGAGTCCACACAGACGGAGGGAGTACATGTTTGAGCAGATTTACTCTTTACTCCTCCCCCTCATGGATCACTGCCTTGTCGTGGCGAGGGGGCTTGCGCAGTTCAATGAAGCTGTGGGCTATGCCGTGAAGGGCCACCCAAGACGGACAGGCCACAGCAGAGGTGCTCAGACCAAGCGTAATCCCCTGGAGAAGGAAATGGCAACCCACTCCAGTATTTTTGCCAAGAAAACCCCATGGACAGTATCAAAAGGCGAAAAGATATGACACCGGAAGATGAGCCCCTCAGGGTCGGAAGGTGTCCAATATGCCATTTGGCTTTTGTTGTTGTTCAGTCGCACAGTCGAGTCCGACTCTTCGCGACCCCATGGACCAGCTCCCGCCAGGCCCTCCTGTCTTCCGCCGTCCTCTGAAGTTTGCTCAATTTCATGTTCGTTGCCTCTATGACACTGTCTAACCATCTCATCCTTTGCCGCCCCTGTCTTCTTTGACCTTCAATCTTTCCCAGCATCAGGGTCTTCTTCTCCAGTGAGTGCTCCCTTCTCATTGGGTGGCCAAAGTATTTGAGCTTCAGTTTCATTATCTGGCCTTCCAGGGAACAGTCAGGGTTGATTTCTTTGAGGATTGACTGATTTGATCTTCTTGCAGTCCAAGGGACTCTCCAGAGTCTTCTCCAGCACCATTTGGCTACTGCCGAAATTATTCTGCTCTGGAGCCCTCCTTCCTGAGCGAAGAGCAAAACGGGTGAGCCGGAGGCTAGAAAAGAGCAAGCGTCTGGGAGCGAAGAGAAAAACGTGTGAGCCGGAGGCTAGAAAACTGCTGAGCTCGCTCACACTGACTCAGCTTAGAGGGAACACTGGGACAGATACAGGGACAGAGGGACTCCCAGCCTAGCAGCAGAAAAGAGGACCGCAAAGCCTAACAAAACTTGTGGCAGGGGAGGAGCTTTGTGGAAGTCACCGCTCCCTTCTTCAATGTGGCCTGGCCCCTCCTCATACACACAGGTATGGCTCCTGGGATGTATTTGCCCAGGTAAGCCAAGTCCTTGCGGTTGCGGGCCTGTGTGTTGTGCATCCGTGTTTCCTCCCGTCTCTGACCTTCTGTTCTCCTTCCTGGCTGGTAGAGCTTCCTGGTTTTCTCGCTGGCTCCCCCCCCCCCCCCCCCCCCC